TATTGTGTATCAGATACAGTCCCTAGTTGTTAGGGATAGAAATGAAAAGTTTGTGTGTCTGGTGGCTCAGTCAGTTGTCTGCCTTCAGCTCAAGTCATGATCCCGGGGTCCTGGGATTGAGACCCAAGTCGGGCTCTCTGCTCAGCATGGAGCCTGCTCCCCCCTCTCTCTCTCTACCTGCCACTCTGCCTACCAGTGCTCTCTCTGTCAGATAAATAAATAAAATCTTTAAAAAAAAATTGAAAATGAAAAATTCTCATCCATACAGGAGACACTCAATCTATCAATTAATGTCAGGGAGTTGAGTACCATAAAGAAAAATGAAACAGAACAAGGAAACAGAGTGAGGGAGTACAAATTGAGTTTGTTTGTTTGTTTGTTTTTTACAGTAGGTAATTACGGAACGCCTCTCTTAGAAACTTACTTGAACAATCCTGAATGATGTAATGGACATTAAGATCTTCAAATACCCAGGGGAAGAACATCACAAGCAAATTAGCACAATATAGAGAAAAAGGCAGGAATGACCTCGGAGTGTTCAGACTCAAGAAGCTTAGAATGAGAGTTTAGAGGTCAATATCATATCAAGGACACAGGAAGGGGGCTAACTGTAAGCCATGATAAGGAATTTGCATTTCCCTCTAAGTGGGATGGGAAGCTACTGCAGTTTTCTGAGCAGGTAAGTGATATTAACTAAGATTTTTAAAAGATCACTAACCTTTGTATATGAGAACTGACTACAGGGGGCAAGCCTGCAGCCCAACTATAAACCTCTTGCCTAAGAAAGAGATATCAATGATTGGAGCAAGATAATAGTAGTAAGGCAAGTAAGGAGAAGTGAGGAAATTCTGGATATGTTTTGAATGCAGAGGCAAAGATCTTACTGACAGAATGTATGTGGAATGTGAAAAAGGAAAAAACCATGACTCCCAGACATCAGAGATGAGTGACAGGAAAAAACAATGGTGCCATCTAAAAGAAATAGGCAAGGATGAAGAAATGAGGACGTTTAGGTAAGAAAACTAAGAACCATTTATCACTATATCCCATACTAAAGATAAGGAAACTGAGGCACAGTGTCACTGCTGATAAGCTAAGTTGGGCAATGAATTCAAGCAGTATAGTTCCAGAGTGTGAATTCTTTTTTTTTTTTTTTTAAGATTTTATGTATTTATTTG